AAAGGGGCCAGAGCGGACAGCGAGAGGGCCACGAAAAGCGGAATGAGGGCCACGAAGGTCAGCGACGGGGCCACGAAAGGCGATCGCGGGGCCACGAAGAGCATCGAAAGGCTCAAACAGCAGGGCCACGAGAGGCATCGACGGGGCCACGAAGGCAGCGGCGGGGCCTTGAAATCCGACTGCGGTACCGCCTTGAAATCCGACCCCCTCCTCCCCGACCGTTGCCCACCGCATAAATGGCACCGCAAGCATTGCACCACACAGCTTACACCACATAGATTGCACCGCGTAGGCTGCATAAATTCTTTCTTTACAAGAATTAGGATCTACCTTCCCGCCCCACCGAACTTAATGGTACCCATTTCCGTAACTCAATGTACATATGATGCTGCCCCATCGTCCATCCTGAATCTGAACTCATACCATCCCAGGCAGGCCAGTATCACCCACCCACCCATCGTCTGCAATAAACACTATGCGCACACATTCGTCGATCAACAGCCATTATGTTTGAAGAACCCCTTGCAAAAGATGAGACGAAGGGCACACGCGCGCGTCGTCGCGCGCGCATGCCGAAATCTTTCAAAAACGCCAGGTTTCGTAAGGATTTCAAAAACGAGTGTCCCGAAAACATACTTATCCTGGCGAGGGACCCAACCATGTGCAGTTGTGAGTACCGTCGTTGTGAGCATCGCATTCGAAGAATCCCCTCATGGTGCCACGAAGCGCGTGAAGGGTGTGGCGAAATGAGGCGCGGCCGCCACGCGGGTGGAGGGTGTGCCGAAATCTGGCGGCAATACCATGCAAACCCTCCAACTGGGGCCTTCGGTGAAACTCCCTTATGGGGCCATGAAGCGTCTGCGGAGTGTGCGGACACGGGGCGGCTGTGCCATGCGAACCCTCCCATTGGGGCTTTCGGTGGAGCTCCCTATGAGGCCACGAAACGTGTGAGAGTGTGCCGAAATCGGGCGGCGGTGCCATGCGAACCCTCCCAGTGGGGCCTTGGACAGAGCTTCCGCTGGGACCACGAAACGTTTGAGGGGTGTGCCGAAATATAGCGACGGTGCCGTGCGAACCCTCCCACTGAAGCTTTCGGTGGAGCTTCCAACGAGAGTTGTGCTGAAATGGGGCGGCGGTGCCATGGGAACCCTCCTATTAGGGCCTTCGGTGGAGCCCCCAATTGGGCCACGAAGCGTGTGAAGGGCGTGCCGAAATGGGGCGGTGGTGCCATGCGAACCCTCCGAGTGGGGCCTTCGGCGGAGCTCCCTGTGGGCTACGAAACGGGTGAGGAGCGTGCGGAAATTTGGCGACGGTGCCGCGCGAACCCTCCAACTGGCCACTTCGGTGGAGCTCCTTATGGGTTCACGAAACGTGTGAGGGTGTGCTGAAATGGTGCGGCGGTGCCACGCGAACCCTCCCACTGGGGCCTTCGGTGGAGCTCCCTATGGGGCCACGAAACGTGCCGAAATGGGACGGCGGTGCCATGCGCACCCTCCCAGTGGGGCCTTTGCTGGAGCTCCCTATGGGGCCACGCAACGTGTGAGGGGCGTGCCCAAATACAGCGGCGGTGCCGTGCGAACCCTCCCACCGGGGCCTTCGGTGGAGCTCCCTATGGGGCCACGAAGCGTGTGAGGGGCGTGACGACATGGGGCGGTGGTGCCATGCGAACCCTCCCACTGGGGCCTTCGGTGGAGCTCCGTATGAAGCCACACAGCGTGCGGAATGTGCAAAAATGGGGCGGCGGTGCCATGCGAACCCTCCCACTGGGGCCTTCGGTGGAGCTCCCCATGGGGCCACGAAACGTTCGAGGGGTGTGCCGAAATCGAGCGGCGGTGCCATGGGAACCCTCCCACTGGGGCCTTCGGTTGATCTCCCTATGGGGCCCCGAAACGTGTGAGGGCATGCCGAAGCATAGCGGCGGTGCCATGCAAACCCTCCCACTAGGGCCTTCGGTGAAACTCCCTATGGGGCCACGAAACGTGTGACGGGTGTGCCGAGACATAACGGCGGAGCCACGCGAACCCTCCCACTGGGGCATTCGGTGGAACTTCCTATGGGGCCACGAAGCGTGTGAGGGTGTGCCGAAATAGGGACAGCGTTGCCACGCGACCCCTCCCAGTGGTGCCTTCGGTGGAGTTCCCTACGAGGCTACAAAAAGTGTGAGAGGCGTGCCGAAAGAGTTGACTGGTGCGGAGGGCAGAAGCAAGGAGGGGAGGAGAGAGGAGGGGAAGGAGGAGGAGAGGAGGAAGGAAACAAGAAACGCGGGGTGTTGCCTCTTCAAAACAAAGACCCAACACCACAGGATATTTGGGAAAAACACATGGCGCTGATGTTAAAACAAAAAACTGCGCGCGCCACTTGCATAACATGCAACTAAAGAAACATTTTCCCCCGCGCGCATGTCGAAATCGTCCGAACACACTTGCGCGCGAGCTGCCGCAAGAATCCTTGTGCGGAAAATCAAGACGTACACGCGCGCGTCGTCGCGCAAGCATGCCGGAATACTTCGAAAACCTTAAGTACCGCACGGATTTCAAAAACGAGTGTCCTCAACACATAAGAACGCAAGGTTTTGCAACATCAGTTTCGAAAAAAATATGCGTGTTAGCAAATTATCATGGAAACCATCGGTGTGTTCAACACGGTCATCAAACTATGCCAAGCTGGACCCTCGCACCGCATGCCGAACTCATCCGAACGCCCTCGCGCGCGCACCGGGGGGGGGCACGATCCGTGTCAAATAATACCACGCGGGCCACTTGCGCGCGTCGGCCGCGCGCGCATGTCGAACTCCTTCCAAAACCTGCATCACCGACGCGAGGACGTCGGCATCGTTATCGGCGACGTCATTGGCCTTGCCGTGGTCATCGCAACCATCGTCACCATCATCGTTACTTTCATCATCGTGTCTACCGTTGTCGGCGTCGCCACGGTACCGCGCCAGCCCACGTCACCGACTCGCACTGAAGTGCCCGCTGGAAGCCCCCAGCGGTCAGCGCCACCGCGGCCGCGTCAGTCGCGCCAAACTAGCTGGCCGCTGCGCGCGCGAGCATGCGCGAGCTCGCACGGCCGCACAGATGCACCAGCCAACACCAAGCACGCATCGCAATCGCCGTCGCATGGGCTTTGCAAACGAAACTGCGGATGGGTGGGTGGCCGAGCAGTGGAGTTGACAACTTCATGTTCGGCAGGGTGCCTGGCACCACTTGGACAATACGACATAGGTTTTTCTTTCAAAAAATCAGCTCTACCCCCCCACACACACACACACACACACACACACACACACACCCGGGATGATCCACCCACCTTTTCGCATTGCAATTTACATGTGCTTCTGCCCCATCGTCCATCCTGAATAAGACGTCGTACCATTTCAGGAGCGCCAGGTTCCGCCCCCGCCACACTCCGCCACCTTGTGCGAAAAAATGCGCGCACAGTCGTTTATCACAAATCATCAGTTTTCAACCATTCTTTTGCAAAAATGAAACGAAGTGCACACGCGCGCGTCGTCGCGCACGCATACCGCAATCCTTCACAAACCTTCGGTGTCGTAAAGATTTCAAAAAAATGTCCAAAAAGCATGAAGATAAACACACGGCTTCGCAACACTGAAAAACTTGCGCGCTCTTGCTAATTTTTCTGGGAGCCACAGTTTGTCAACATGTTCAAATAACGCTACCCAGCGGGCCTCGCGCGCGCGCGCATGTCGAAATCGTTCGAACGCCCTTTGCGCGCGTGTTGGGGTGGCACGGCCCGTGCCTAATAATATCATGCGGGCCACTTCCGCGCGTCGGCCGCGCGCGCATGTCGAACTCCTTCCCAAACCTGCATCACCGACGCGAAGACGTCGGCATCGTCGTCGCCGCGATCAGCATCGGCGCCGTCCCTGGTTCCCCCGTCGTCGCTGTTAGCATCGTCGCCAACATCGTTACTATCATCATCGTGTCTACCGTTGTCGACGTTGCCATGATACCGCGCCAGCCCACGTCACCGACTCGCACCGAAGTGCCCGCTGGGATGTGCCGAGCGGTCAGCGCCACCGCGTTCGTGTCGGTCGCGCCAAACTAGCTGGCCGCTACGCGCGCGAGCATGCGAGGGCTAGTGCGGCCGCAGAGATGCACCAGCCAACCCCAAGCAGTCATCGCAATCGCTTCAACATGGGCTTTGCATACCAAGTTGCGGGTGGGTGGGTGGGATGATTGCGCAAGCAATGGAGTCGACAACTTCAAGATCGGCAAGGTGAATTGCACCACATAGATTGCACCACATCCACACATATTGCACCACATTGACTGCACCACCGCGTGTGCTAGAACACACCGTTTGTGGTCCACGCTGGCTAAAAGCCTTAGTACAAATCGTAATATGATTCCCTCCAGCACCTCCTCCCCCACCTCCCCCTCCTCTTCCTCATCCTCCTCCTCCTCATCTTCCTCCTCCTCCTCATACTCCCCCCCTCCTCCTCCTCCTCCTCCTCCTCCTCCTCCTCCTCCACCTCCTCCTCTTAGGCAAACGAAGGGCTCGCGCGTCACCCCCCACTTCCTGTGCTTCTAGGCGATCGCGGCGTCGATGTGGAGCCCTCTCCCTTCGCCTCCTCCTCCCCCTTGGACATACCAATAGCGAGACAGCTCGTTCATCCCCGAGCCTGCTTTAGTAGAGTAAAGCCTTGTTCTCCCTCGCACGCATCCTCGGCGAACCAGCTCACCTTCGCACCTGCCTCGATAGAACGAAGCGTTCCCTCCTCCTCCTCCTCCTCCCCCACGCTCCCCCATGTCCCCAATCATCCGATGTACTGACTTTCCAATAATTACGGGGTCCCCAGAAGCCCTGGCCCGTTCCCCAGGGCCAGCGTTTCATCCCGAGGCGTTTTGTTGACGGTCATGGGACCCAGCGAGGACCCTGGAGGCAGAAAGCGGCTAAAAACCTGCCGTCGTGATTTGTTGTCGCGACGCGAGCATGTCTGGGTCCCTGTCCTCCTCCGCCCCACCCCTCCCTGCCGCGTGGATAACGCTGCCGTCCGCGAGCGCCAGCGAGTCCACCCTGCCATCGGGCGAGAGGCGCAGGCCCGACACCGCCTGCTCCACGTAGGTCACCCCCCGCGCCTGCGCGGCGCTGCTCCCTCCGAGGAGGTTGCAGGTCAAGAAGCGAAGCGAACGCCGGAGTCGTGCGCCCGCCCGTGCCGATCAGGGCATGGCGTGGAGGCCGTCGCCTCCAAAACGTGATAAGCGGGCGGACTCACATGATACGGAGGGGGACTCAAGTAGGTGGAGGTCGGGCGAGAAAAGCGGGGAGGGGAGGGAGTAGAGGGGGACAAGCTAGGCGCGCTCGCGCGCCACATCTGATATCCGACCCCATCTCACTCATCCCTGCCCATGACGCTGCTTTTGTTTCCTCTATCCGTCGACAGATGTCAGAATGAACCTGGAGCCTCCAGGAATACAGTCGGCCCGGCCGAGCCCGGGGTGAGGAAGAAGGTGGGAAGAAAAGCCCTCGATTTCCGGACAATGGACTTCCTGGGTACGCTAGCGTCGACCTCTCTTCAGAAGTCAATGTGCGATTCCGTAGTCGCCCTCGTTCTACTTCAGCCGGCTTCCGCCAGCCTTGCGCAAAACCTTCGCAGGCACTGCGGCGCTCAATGAGAGAAAGGGAGCGAGAGAGAGAGAGAGAGAGAAAGAAAGAGAGAGAGATAGAGACAAAAAAATGCATTTTTATATGTTATCTGTACATATATATATAGAGAGAGAGAGAGAGAGAGAGAGAGAGAGACAGGGAACAAACAAAAAGAGAGAGAGAGAGAGAGAACGAAAAAAAAAGAAAAAAAAGAAAAAAAAAAAAAAAAAAAAAAAAAAAAAAAAAAAAAAAAAAAAAAAAAAAAAGAGAGAGATTGAGAGAAAATGATGAAAAGGAAAGGAAAAGAGTGGAGAGGGGAGCAGAGGAGAGGAGAGGAGAGGAGAGCAGAGGAGCGAGGACAGGAAGAAAAGAGGAGGGGCGCGGGGGGGGAGGATCTTAGAAGGGAAAACAAAATAAGGGAGAAGAAGACGAGAGCGGAAAGGAGAGGAAAGGAGAGGAGAAGGGGAAAAAAAGGGGAAGAGAGGGAAGGCGAGGGCCCAACGACGCCGCCCAGAGCAGAGCCGGGCGCCTGGGAGCCCTGGCGCATGGCCTGAAGCAGCGCCCATGGGTCGAAGTACCCCTCTCCGGGCGCAGGACAACCGGGCGGTGCTGGTCGTCGCTGCCGTTGCCGTCGCCGTCGCCGTCGCTGTCGCCGTCGGTCGTTGATCGTCGGTCGTCGGCCGTCGTCCTCAATCGTCGGCCGTCGATCGTCGTCGTGGTCGTCGGTCGTCCGACGTCGGTCGGTCTTCTGTCGTCAGTCGTCTGTCGTCTGTCGTCGATCGTCCGTCGTCTGTCGTCCGTCGTCGTCCTCCTCCTCCACCCCCCCCCTCCTCCTCCTCCTCCTCCTCCTCCTCCTCTTCCTCCTCCTCCTCGTCCTCATCCTCCTCCTCATCAACATCATCATGATCATCATCATGATCATCATCATCATCATCATCATCATCATCATCATCATCATCATCATCATCATCATCATCATCATCATCATCGTTCTTCTCCTCTGCCCCCTCCTCCTCCTCCTCCTCCTCCTCCTCCTCCTGCCCCCTCCTCTTCCTCCTCCCCTCCAGTCCTCTTCCTTATAAACAACTCCTCCCTGTCGCACCCCGAGGCCGGTTGAAAGGGCGGGCTCGGCGTTTCGCCTGAGACTTCCCCACCATTTACGAAGCTGAAAAATAACAACAGTTTCACAAATGGAGGGCGGGTCGCTTCCAAAATGTGGCTCTCGCCGTAGCGCCGCCATTAGTCGTGATAAAAAATGTTTCAGGGCTTCACGTGTTAAGGACGGGCGGTTTTCAAAATGTGGCTCTCGTCTTGACGCCGCGAACATTCGTTTTATAATTTGTAAGAGTTTCCAGGTTGAGGGCGGCTCGTTTTCAAAATGTGGTTCTCGCTTAAGCGCCGCTCACATTCATCCTCAAAATCTGCAAGGGCTTCACGGATTGAGGGTGGCTCGTCTTCAAAATCTGGCTCTCGCCTGAGCGCCACGCAAATTCTTCAAGTCTGCAAGGGTTTCACATATTCGCATGGTCAGCGTATCCGTGATGGCGTTTTGGAAGGATTCCGGAATATGAGGGTGCAACAGTGACGTCGATTCGCGAAGGTGAAGTCCAAGGAACTATGTTCTGGCACGATTCAAGATCGTCAAAACGCAACAGTCAAGTTGATCAGTGGCGTTGGAGTCCCGAGAATGGTGTTTTGGCATGCTTCAGGGTCTTCAAACGGTTGTCTCCCAACGAGGCAGTTTCCTGTGGAAATGAACCATTGTAGGGGCCTATGAAGAAGGAGCCTGAAGGATGGCTCATTCCAACATCGTTGATGAGTCTTGGATTTACACTGGTCCCTCCTCATCATCCTCCTCCCCTCCTCCCCTCCTCCCCCTTCTTCTCCCCCTAGCCACGACGACCACCACAACCACCACGACGAAAACGACGGCGGCGGCGGCGGCAACAGGCGACCGACGATCGACGACCGACGAACGACCGACCGACGACCGCAGACCGACGAACGACGACGACGACGACGACGACGACGACGACGACGACGACGACGACGACGACGGCACGGCGACGGCGACGGCGACGGCGGGGGCGGTGGCGAAGACGACGGTGAGAGCGCAGCACGCCGAGGAGAGCGGCAGGGGCCTCGTTACGCTCGCCGAAGGCGCCAGCGGCGACGCCTGAGGAGCCCCCGCGAGTGGCGACTGCAGGACTTTAGACTGGGAAGGGAAACCAGATGACACATCTGCAGCACCTCCTCCTCCTGCTCCTCCTCCTCCTCATTCTCCTCCT